GGCCAATAGATTTGTGAGATTGGATATTTCGAGCCTATTAGGGTTCTTGCTTGTGTTGTGGCACAATCGTCTTTGTTGGAGCGACTCAAGGCTCGTCGGTTTGATGATCCCCACTTGTTAGTGTTGAAAGATACGGTGCAATAGGGTGGTGCTAAAAAGGTTGTGATTGTGGATGATGGTGTTATGCAGCTTCAGGGTCGGATTTGTATTTCGAATGTTGATCATTTGAGAGAGTTGATCCTTGAGGAGGCTCATAACTTACGGTATTCTATTCACCCAGGTATCACAAAGATGTATCATGACTTGAAGCAGTATTATTTGTGGCAGAAGATGAAGAAATATATTGGTGGGCATGTCTCATGGTGCTTGAATTACCAATAGATGAATTATGAACATAAAAAAGTGGGTGGTTTGACTCAGATATTGGTGATACCGGAGTGGAAGTGGTAGCATATTACTATGGACTTTGTGGTAGGCTCACCATGGACTTTGAAGAAAAATGATGTTGTTTGGTTCATTATGGACAGATTGACCAAGTCCAAGCATTTTCTTCTGGTGATGACTTCCTACACTTCAGAGCGGTTGACTCAGATCTACATCACAGAGATTATTCATCTGCATGGTGTGCCCATTTCTTTCATTTCCGACCGTGCACACATTTTACTTCATAATTTTAGAGAGCTTTTCAGCGTGTGTTGGGCACGCGGGTGGAGCTCAACACTCTATTTCATCCGCAAATAGATGGCCAGTCCGAGCGGACTATACAAATCCTTGAGGATATGTTAAGAGCCTGTGTTATTGATTTCGGAGGGTAGTGGGATCAGTTTCTACCATTGGCAGAGTTTGCCTACAACAACATCTACCAGTCCAGCATTCAGATGGCACTGTATGAGACTTTATATGGTAGGCGGTGCCGTTCTCCTATTGGTTGGTTTGATCCTGGTGAGGCCAGGATGTTGGGTACGGATTTGGTTCTTGATACTTTAGAGAAGGTAAAGTTGATTCAGGATCACCTTCGAACATCGCAGAGCAGGCAGAAGAGTTATACAGACAAGTAGGTCCATGATGTGGCTTATATGGAGGGTGAGAAGGTACTTTTGAAAGTTTCTCCTATGAAGGGCATGATGAGATTTTGAAAGAAGGGCAAGTTGAGACCGAGGTTTTTTTGGCCCATTTGAGATCTTAGATAGAGTTGGGGAGGATGCTTATAGGCTTGAATTGCCTCCCAACCTAGCAGGGGTACATCCAGTATTTCATATATCTATTATCATTAAGATAAATCACATGTATTGGACTTCAGGACGGTTCAGCTTGATGAGGACTTGACCTATGAAGAGAGTTGGTAGCCATTCTAGACCGGTAAGTTCGAAAGTTGAGATCTAAAAAAAATTCTTCTATGAATGTGCGCTGGAGAGGTCAGCCGACTGAGGAGGCTAATTGAGAGTCCAAGTTCGATATGAGGAGTATATATCCATATCCTTTTACTAGTCCAGGTACATTTCTATGTTCGTTCGAGGACAAAAGTTTCTTTTAGGGGTGGAGAATGTAAGATAAGTCATTTTGAGATCTAACTTTCTATTTCGTGATTTGAGACCCTACATAGTTCTATTTGATGATTTATGTCTTGCGTGCGTGGTCCGTGTTGATTTCGAGAAAGTTTAAATGTGATTTTTCAAAAAAAATATGATTTTTGAACTTGAAAATGGTTAGAGTTGGCCACGGTCATTATTATTGATAAACGACCTCGGATCGGTATTTTGACGATTCTAGTAGGTATGTATCATGATTTTGTACATTTACGCATATTGGTTGAGCCCGGGTGACCCGAGGTCGTTTCGGCGCTTATTGTAAAAAGTTAAAATTTAAAGTTATGAACTTCGAAATTTTTGAGTTTTGATCCTTGATTCTTGATTGTAGATGTTTTTTTATCTTACGAGCGAGTTTGTATGATGTTATTGTATTTGTGTGGATGTTTGGATTGGGGACCGAGGGACTCGAGTGAGTTTCGGATTGGATTCGGATTGATCCCTAGGACTTGAGTTTGCTGGTACTACAAACATCGCAATTGCAAAGGTCTGTTCGCAAATGCGAGCCTCGCATTTGCGAGTGCTATCTCGCATTTCCGATGCTGGGGGAATTTGGGCAGCTTCGCATTTGTGAAGCTTAGGTCTCTTTTGCGAGGGGTCGATCTTTCGTATTTGCGATGCTTCTATCGCATTTGCGACTTTCGCAATTGGGATGCCTCTGATGTAATTGCGATCTCAGTGGCTCAGGGGATTGATCGCATTTGTCATCAGCTATGCGCTTTTGCGAACATCGCAGCAATACCCGCAGCTAGGTAAAAGTTAAAGATTTCGCGATTTAGCTCATTTTATTCCATCTTTGAGACCTAGACTCCATATAGAGGCGATTTTGGAGAGCAATTTCTTCCCAACTTCATAGATTAGTAACTTTAACTTGTCTTTGTTCAATTTTCATTGCTTTTTCATAGATTTTTATTACTAAATCTATGATTTCATAGAGTACAAATAGAGTTTTTGGGTAGAAATTTAGTATTTTGTATATTAGAGATTCAGATCTCGATTTGAGATGGGATCTCAAAACAAATCACATATTTAGACTCTGGGGAGAATGAGTAAATGGGATATGGTCTTAATTTCGGATTTCGACCACGTAGACCCGGGTTGACTTTTTTGTTGACGTTTCCAAATATGTTAAAGATAGAACCTTTTTGATAATAGGGTAGTTTCTAAAACTTGTTTTGACTTATTTGAAGATTTATTGATTAGATTCGAGTGGTTTAGAGGCTTGTCCTAAAGGTAAAATTTGTTTGGTTGTTGATTTTATTTTGCAAAGAGGTAAATGTGTTGGTTAACCTTGATTTGAGGTAATCGCGATATAATTATGTCTAATTGCTATGTGTTATATGTGTTGGAGGCGGTATATATGCAAGGTGACGAGTGTATATGTGTTTGCTATGGGTTGAGAATGCAGGTAGAACTAGTTATTTATATTTTCTTGCTTCATAAATTATGTTTTTCATACTTTATCTAGATTGTAAGACTCTTTAACTACTTTCATTCGTGTTAGTAGTCATGTTAAGCTTGTTGTGATATTGGGTAGTAAGACTATTGAATTGTTGATTAGATATTTGTTCAAAGTGATGATTACTTCCTATATGGCAAGTTATGTTCAATTGCTCTTCTTGATATTGTTTGTGCTTCCCACCTTGCTTGGTATTGCTTTACATTTTATGCTTGATGAGGAAGAATGAGTTGCATGAAGGGTGTTTTCATGCTTGTGAGGAAGCATGATTTTGCACGAAAGAAGCTTCTGTGTTTTATTTATATATTAATATAATTGTATGAATGGAGTTACCGTGCTTGTGAAGAAGAGTGAATATGCACGAAGGGTGTTTCCGTGCTTGCTATTGTGTTGTACTTGTGAAGAAAAGACTAAAATCAAGAAGGGTGGTGCCGTGATATTTGTTTGATATCTCTTGTTCTTTATTTTACTATATAGACTGAGGATTGGTTATGTTGTTTCGTGGTTATTTTCGAAAGACTTGTTCAGAGTTGCTTGTGGAAGCATAAATTATAGTTTATTTTAGTCGTTTCTTTCTTTCTTTTTTCGTTCGGTATCTTTTTACTTTTATACTTGTTATTTCTCTCTCCTATTATTTATCTTGTCATCTTGCTATTTTACTTGTTATCCTGTTGCTATATCTCTCGTTATTTTTTTTATTGCTTCACTGCACAGGTTTATATGTTGGTCTCTTGTCTTAGTTTCGTCACTACCTCATCGAAATTAGACTCGGCACTTACGGAGTACATTGTATTGGTTGTACTCATACTACACTTTTTATGCACATTTTGGTGTTGGTTCCGGTGGTATCCAGAGACGGACTAGCTTGCTGGTTGAGGAGACTCGAGGTAGTGCTGCACTTTCGTTCGCAGGCCTTGGAGTCACCTATCTCATAGTCCTGTTACTATTTATTTGATTTGAACAATGTATTATTTATTCTAGACTTTGTATTTAGTTATTCAATAGACGCTCATGTACTCAGTGACTCCAGTTTTTGGGAGGTGTTAGGTGGTCGTTTGTATGGTGTTAGGTGGTCGTTTGTTTTATATATATATATATATATATATATATATATCTTTTTGAGATTTATCTTTCATTTATGATATCATGTTATTTTACATTCTACATTGTCTTTATTTTTATTTTATTTTTGTTATTTATTGGCTTGCCTAGCAAATGGTGTTAGACGCCATCATGACCCTTTGGTTGAGATTTTGGGTCATGACAATATTGTTAGCACATGCTATTTGATGTATTTTTCACATGCATGAGACTTGTGAACAAGCTGTTGGACACTTGGAGGGTGTCATATTGATGTAAAGTTTGAGTCTTTATCATGCTTACATTGTGCATATATCTACTATTTTTATGCACGAGACTTGCTTGGTGAAGATAGGGTGCATCACTTTATATGCTCTATCTGTACATACTGTAATTGTACACGTTTGTAAAGTGAGTATTTTGACTAAAACTTTGCCATTACTTTGTTGCAGGATAGCCATGGAACTAATTGAGCAATGTATCGATATACTCACATTACACTGCTGTACTTTATGAGCAGATATTGGAGCTAAGCTGTTGTAGAGTTCGAGAGCTAGCATGAAAGATATGTTAGTGTCGTAGTTTTTGACTGTCATTTTGTTCATGGTAGTTTAAAATCTTGTATTTTTGTTGTATATTTCAAACAGTTGATATATTTTCTTTATATCAACACAAGTGTAATTGTTCGTGCTTAGCGCGGTCGTAAAAGAAAGTCAAAACATGGTTAAATAATTAACGTCAAAATTTATCTAAAAGAAAACCAAATCTTTCCTAAGCAATTAAAGTTCCTATTACATATAGTGGGAAAGAGCACTTTCTTTTTGCTTAACATACTTTGAACAACAATCTAATAAGCAACCTAAAACAGAGAAATATAATTTACAAATTCATGGTCCTGAGATAGCTCATAAACAAAAATACCAAACAAACAGCCTCAAGATGCAATCTGGACTTTAAGTTCACGTCTTATCCCCTACTCACAAGCCAAAGGTACAACTTACATAATATTGAAAATTGCATCTAACCAATTAAACCTGACTCCACCTTTTATTAAAAAATCAAACCAAGTAGTCTATTCATTCACCTTTACATGCATACATATATGCAATACATGTTAAGATTGAATAATCAAGAATTCAAAAATGACTCTCATACTTGAATAGTCTATGGGTTGTCACCTCCAATTTTGGTACATGAAGAGTCTTCAACGTCATGCAAGTAACATGTGCTGACGTTCTTTGTTAATTTGGTGAGTGACGTTGTCATAAAACCATTGCCCTGTGAAAAGATCAATCTTCAGGTGGCAATTCAATGGTCTCCTCTTCTTCAACAGGTATTTCAATCTTCTCTTTATCAAGCTTTGCTTCTGTTTTAGTTTCAGGGCTATTCTATGTTTTCCTCTCACTACAGAAAAGAAGCTCTCAAATTCATCACTACAGAAAAGCAATAGCTGCTAGAGTGTGTAGCAAATCAGCCACAACCTCATTGAATTAACAAATAAATAGTTTTGTCAAAACACTTGATAAATAAAATTACCATCAGCTCAAATGTTGAGTCTCATAAGTGAGCTTCATTGTATCAAAATCATGTTATTGAATTTGGAATCTGAAACTAAAATATCTGCATCGAAATATCGGTAAGCATAAGGAATTATAAGCTTCAATAGATACAATATTTGACAAAATTGCCAATGCCAAAGGGCAAAAATAATCTACCAAACGGCTATTATCAATGTTGAAAATTAATTACTTATTTTTTTTAGGGCAAGTATTTTCTAAAATGTCTTCTATGAGGATCTATGATTTTTGTCATCTTGCTTTTCTTACCGTTAAAAAAATTCCTTCTCTAGAGTTCCAACAGGGAAGTGCCTAAAGAATGTAGTTCGAAAAATAATTTAAAAAGCTAGGTATAACATCTTTATGCAACAAAAATAGACTACAAGATATAGAATTTTTAGCTTGAGATGCCATAGGAAATCAGCAACTTGAACTTAACTATTTACAATATCATGCACAATTATAAAGTAACTACGAGCACCATGCTGCTAAAAGAATGTTAAACTCAAAACTATCGTTAGCTCAAGATAGTTGCCACGTGAAAGGCCATAGAGCAAATGACACTGCATCCATGATATAAATCGGTAAGTTAAAAAAGCACTAACCTTGGATAGTATTCATGTCTGACTACTTCTGCTATCCATCAAAAGAACTTCCATGATAAGAAAGGACAATATAAAAACTAACTCTCACCTATCCTCCACTTCTATCTTCAACTGGAAAACTCACTAACTCGTATTTTTCACGGTCCTCCGAATGCTATGCGGCTTTTACGCAATTACAGCAAGAGTGATTCCAAGTGCTTTCGCGCTATGACACATTCCTCCATTCAACTGCAATAACAACCAGAAGTTCAACCAAATAAATCTTGAGCAAACCTAACTGAAACATCAAACAAATGTAAATTTATATCATGATCAAACCAAAACTGTCATACCACTTCCCCAATAAGCAGCAAAAAGTGAACAACTTCTGCCCATACCGAAATTAGAAAAGAAGAGAAAGACTTTTTACATCTAAAATCACAACTCGGTCTATGTAGTATTACTTTTGAAAACAGAATTTAAGAATTTAAAGAAGTATAGGTCAACTAACTCAACCCGGACTCAATAAATTAGGAAGTAAAAAGAGCACGTTCAAACAAAATTCAAGACAATAATATGTGGCAGCTTACATTAATAAGTTTTCTTGCTACCTTAGGCTCGCTGATGGATACCAAGTTTTCCTCAACCTTAGTAGTCCCCCTCAGTTTCATTCAACAAGGAATAGAATAATATAACTTTGAATCACATGCATGCATGAATCAATTCTAACATATCTATAAGGAAGAGATCCGCAAGAGCAGGTGATAAAACTAATACTACAACAGTTATTTGATGTAATTCTCAAAGTCTAGCAAATTGGAGTACCAATGAAAAGTTAGGCAAATGGGTCTGTTTAAAAAGCATTAAACCACAAATATTTGTATTTCAGGAAGATGACTAAATTAGACTTGTTTTTTTTATTTAAAAAAAAAAAGCAGGACAAAATAAAATGAGCGATAACACAACACAAGAATCCCAACAATTTCTTGAGCATTGAAATTTTCATCGTTGTGAAGTTCTAAAAATCAGGGACAAAATGTTTTGGTTCAAACAATTTGTTGAACATTGAAATTTTCGATTTTCATGAAACCAACACAAGAATTCATCAGAGTACAACTAAGTGATGACTAAATTATACTTGTTTTTTTTATTAAAAAAAAAAAGCAGGACAAAATAAAATGAGCGATAACACAACACAAGAATCCCAACAATTTCTTGAACATTGAAATTTTCATCGTTGTGAAGTTCTAAAAATCAGGGACAGAATGTTTTGGTTCAAACAATTTGTTGAACATTGAAATTTTCGATTTTCATGAAACCAACACAAGAATTCATCAGAGTACAACTAAGTCCAGAAACTTTAAGGATCTTCAGATTTTAGATAGGATAGTCCAACTAAGCATTCATCCTCGGTCCTCACTCAACATTAGTACAAAAAAAACCCAATTTTGCAGCTTTAAAAATGTTCTAAATTCATCGTTCAGATACAATGCTAACAGAAAACAGAATCATCGGCTATGAAAGAAAGAAATGTAGGAAGCAACTCAACAAAAATAAAATGGAGCAAGAAGAATTAGAGTATTGGGGACTTGCCTGATAGAACAATTTGATAAGTTGAGAGAACCGTAAATTCTCGCACCTTTGAGCACCCGATCCATGGAGATTGGTTGATTCAGATTCATGTGAAGAAAGAAAAAGAGATGGAGGCATTTTGTTGTCAGTAGACTGCAAACGTCGGTAAGAGAAAGAAGAAGAGACGGAGCAGGATTGAAGAAGTGACTTTTCAGGAGACTCGGTTAAAAATTAAACGGAAAAGGTTAAAAATTGTCCTCAAGCTATCAAAAATAGCTTAAATATACCCTCCGTTTATTTTTGGTATCAAATTTGTACTCGCCGTCTAAAAATTGGACCATTATTACCCTAAAACTAACGATTGCCACATCAGCTTTTGGACATACTTAAATATTACGGAAAAATAGTCAAAATTGCCCTCAAACTATCGAAAATAGCTCAATTATATCCTCCGTTTTGTGTTTGGTACCAAATATATCCTTGACGTCTAAAAATTGGATCATTACTGTCCTAAAAACTAACGGTCGTCACATAAGCTCATGTGAACAACAAAAGTCTATCTCCAACATACGGTCCTCCATCTTGACAAAAGTCCCCACGTGTCACACCTCCTTTTTCTCCGGGGATAGGAGAATTTTTCCAATTAAAGTGACATTAATCGAAATGGGATTATTTTATTTATTCAGAGTCGTCACTTGGAATAATTTATGGTGTCCTAAGCCAGCGATTTATTTTATATCCCAAATCGAGGAAATTTGACTCTATTTTTGTGGTCTACGAACAAAAAAGACCGGGTAAGGAATTCTATTAACCCAGGAGAAGGTGTGAGGCACTCTCGAGTTCCGTGGTTTTAGCACGGTCGCTCAACTATTAATGATTGGCCTATTTATCTGATTTAATACATGCTTAAAACCTATTGTGCATTTTTAAATTTTAACCGCTTTTAATTATTTATGAAACTTATTTGAATAAGTCGCGATGTTGCACACTCATTTATTTTTATACATATTGAGAATCACGTCACGTGAAATGCACCCACGATTTACAACATGCTTATTTTTATTATTATTCGAAGTTGAAGTCAAGTCGCGTGAAACGCACACTTGAGTTGGGGTTTACATATCGTGACTATGCCACGGGAACTGTACCCATAGTCACGATGATTTATTAATCGCGCCTAAAGCAAACTACGAATATTCGTAAGTTATTTTCCTAAACTAGTTTGAGATTATTTCTGAAGCTATTGAACTCCGGAGGTTATTGTGAATGTCGTACGTATTATGGAAGTCATTTGAAGTTATATTAATTTATGCAGGAGAGCTAGCTTACATGTTTATTGGGAACATGCCAACAATTTAATTAATTCTTCTTGCCTTGGACCCAAAACGTGAGTCATTTAACATTACTCACTAATGATGCTAAAATTAATTTGCAAACAAATCATATGACCCACTTATCAATTAATTATAAACTAACCAAACTAAACTAAGACAGAATACTACTTAATAAACCTCAAACAACTAATTAGAGATATTACGCGAATAATCAAACTTATGAGCATTTATATCAATGTAATCTAGCACACTCTATTCTAACAAATAAACATCCAACATGATAAATTCAAAGAGAAGTTTAAAGAGAAGATGAACCTTTATTGCTAAAATTTCCAGCAGGTACAGTGAAGAGAAGCTCCAAAACAGCAGAAATCCAAAACCAGCGCTTAACCAGGACCTCAAACGACAGAACTCTAACACGACTTCACTTCGGCGTTGGCTTTTGACGGTATTTTTTGGGGTTAATTTTGGGTGCTTTGAAGCTGTATTTTGGGGTATTTTGGAGTGTTATATGGGGTGATGAATTGCTGGATTTTTCGAAAGAAAGAGGAAGAAGGAATGACACGAGTACAAATTCTCTTAGCGTAGAAGAAAAAGAAAAATTCTCTCCATTCCCTCCTCCCTATTTTTTTTCTCTTTCTCCCTTTTTTTTCCTCACATTTCTCTTCTATTTATAGAAAAAAAATTCGAAATTTTAATTTTATTTTTTTAATTAAAAAGAATTTCCACTTCCCATTTTTCTTATTTAAATTCTCCACTTTTATTTACTTTTATCTTTTAATTTCTTACTTTTTTTACCTTTATTATATTTAAATTTCCACTTTCATACTTTTCTTTTTTTATTTCCCACTTATTTTACTTTTCCTTTTTTTTAAATTTCCACTTACTTTACTTTTATTAAAAAAAAAATCAGATACCCTTACTTTTATTTTTTAATTCCATCTTTATTTTACTTTTTATTTTTTAAAATTTTCACATTCTTTTACTTTTATTTTTTTAATTTTCCACTTTCTTTTACTTTTTTTATTAAATAATTTTTACCTACTTTTACTTTACTTTTTAATTTTATATTTCTACTTTTCCTATTTTTTAATTCCCATCCGAAATTTATTTTTAAAAAAATTAATTTTTATTTATTTTCGTTTTTTTAATTCATTTTATTTAAAAATAAAGATAAAAATAAAAATAAAAATAATACTAATAGTAATAATTGAACTTTTAAATTATTATTAACAAAGCTAAAAAAATATATATTAAAATTTCTGAAAATATTTACATAGTAGAAGGTGATAAAAATTCAAATATAGTCAAAAATTAGGTGCTCACACCACGAATAAATTTTTTTTCTCCATTTTCTGTGAGGGGTTGCTGTATTTCTCGTGAAGGCGCAGTGAAGCACTTCAGGTGGCCCGCTAGCTAGGCCAGTGAGAAGGGGAATGATTAGGTGGTGTCTAAAAAATGTATCTTTGTATGAGGTTTTGGGTCTAGGTCTTATTTGCGGTCGGTCTTCTTTTCTTTTCTGTTGATGAAGGCTGAAAGTGGAAAAGTATAGTATTTTAGAGGATGGTTTCATTCTAATGGTTTTCGAGTTTTTTATGAGAGTTGTTTTTAAAAGTATATATCTCTACAACTGATCTATGACCTATTTGAGATATGAGATTGGATAGCTAGCCATAGGAGTACTGCAATATACAGCTTTTGTTGTTCTCCACCATTTTTGTGATAAGATTTATGATTTTAAGTGATAAAAGTTGGTATTTTATTTCTTGTATAGTATATTGATTTTTTTTTTATAGATTTGTGAATCTTAATAATAGCCCAACTAAATTTTTCATAATAAGATTGGTGTAACTTTAATTATTTGGAAGGAGCAACACTTCGATGAGTCAACGAATGAAAATGGAGAAAGAAATTTTATTCGTGGGGGCTTTTGTCAAGATGGAAGACCGTTTGTTGGAGATAGACTTTTGTTATTCACATGAGCTTATGTGACGGCCGTTAGTTTTTAGGGCAGTAATGGTCCAATTTTTAGACGTCAAGGACATATTTGGTACCAAACACAAAACGGAGGATATAATTGAGCTATTTTCGATTGTTTGAGGGTAATTTTGACCCTTTTCCCGTAATATTTAAGTATGTCCAAAAGCTGATGTGGCAACCGTTAGTTTTAGGGTAATAATGGTCCAATTTTTAGACGTCAAGGACATATTTGGTACCAAACACAAAACGGAGGATATAATTGAGCTATTTTCGATTGTTTGAGGGTAATTTTGACCCTTTTCCCGTAATATTTAAGTATGTCCAAAAGCTGATGTGGCAACCGTTAGTTTTAGGGTAATAATG